TTCTATTTGGCTGATGTCTCGTGTTAGCTTCTATTGCTCTGCTGTTGTTAGCTGTAAGTTTTGCTGCAAGGGATTTTGAAGTATTTTTCTCCTGAATGGATTTTGCCTGTAGCATTCCTTTACTTATGAATGGAGCCATTTGGGGAGGCTGCCTTAGCCTGCAGCCAGTACTTACATTTTTTTTTCTTCCTTAAGTGCCGGCTGCCCTCCTTACTTTCCTTTCTAGCCAGTAGCTAATTCTTAAAGGGGAATGTGCCTTTTTAAGGTAGTTTGCTCAGCAGCTTGTCTTTTCTGTCTCTGGAGGCCTTTCCTTGTTTGATCAATATATGGAAGAGGGAAAATATGGGGGGGGGGCTTTCAAATTCTTCCTTCAGAAGGAGATGGGAATGAGAAAAAGGGAGGCAGGGAAGGGAGGGAGGAAAGGAAGTCCCGCCTTAGCACTTGGCCACCAGCAGCTCTGCCATTGACTTTGCTTGTCAAAAGGTTGCAGAAGGGGATCACATGACCCTGGAACACTGTGACCATTATAAATATGAATCAGCTGCCAAGCATCCAAATATAAATCACATGACCCTGGGCATGCTGCAATGGTCATAAGTGTGAAAAATGGTCATAAGTCATTTCAGTGCAATTGCAACTTTGAACAGGTTTTTTGGGGGGGTCATCAAGTTTTTGACACCTTGCTAGGTAGTACTCAAATATTGCCATATCCTAAAAGTGGTACAATCGGTAAAAAGGTTGAAAAGCCCTGGTTTAAGGGATAGATTCCTGGTTTATCAAGTACCCCTCTCCCACTAAAATAGTTTAAAAATGCCTGGAGTGATCTTGCAGTACTGAGGCAAGCTCTCCATACCATGCTCCAAAAGGACAGGTACTATGATGTCATAATTTGGTAGTTCACTGAAAACAAATAAATTAAAATTGCAGAGATCTGTGACTAGATTTGGCTAACTAAAAGATACAAATAATCTAAAGTTTGTAGTAGTTTTTGATTGTTCACAGTCCTAGGCTATTAATTCACAAATGATTCAAGCTAATACTACACCTTTAATATTCTATAAGGCTCCATTAGGGCTTTTTTTTGGCACTTTCCTGCCTTTTTCAAAAGTTCTAGAAAACTCAGAGTGAGAACATAAGCCATTACAGGGGGGGAAAAAATCTGACAGCATTCCAGCTATGTCAGGTACAGCAACTGGATCCACACATGAAAAGTTCATGTTGACTACTTTATTGTGTGCTACTTAATCTCCCAGACTGCTTGCCTTCCCTTGGGAACAAACAGATAAGGTTCTATGGAACCTAGGAAGGGTTAAGCTTAAGTCACTTGCGGCTGCATAAGGACATAAGGCTAGTTCTCCACTTGATCTCTCCTCTTACCTGGCTGGGTGTTTCCCAGCAATTATACAATCAAAACAAAAAGACAAAGGAAAATTTATACTTAAGTATATATTGACTGAATTAGACAGAAAACTACTTAGGAAGGGCACGTGTGAATAAGTGAGAGAAAGTGAAAGCATAATTCCTTTACTAGTGAAAAAACAAGAATGACATGATTGAAGCCAGATACACTTAGTAGCATTTACCGCTGTCTGGGACTTTACCTATTGCAGTTTATGAAAACTGATAGCTAGGGGCAATGGAAAGACATTATGACTAATTTATTAATACAAATAGTATTCACCAGAAGGCCTGCTTAACAATCAAGGCCCTTTCATCCAGCCAAGCTTTGCGTGCATCTACAGATTTGCCCTTTGCAGCATCCAAAACATCTGGGGGAAATTCTAGAAGGGGAAGAATATATGCATATTAACTTACATATTAATGATTGGATTCCTTTAGTTAGGATGTGCACATTTTGTATGCTTACTGTGAAAGTACAGAATATTTCATTGGGATTGACCATTAATTCAAAGAAATAATGCAATAGGGACTGGGAACTCTGTTGCTAAGTGGAGTGGTTGTTATGCACAATGTCACATGACTATGCTGACTTATGATGTCAATTCCATTTGAAGTCTTTAAGTGAATCACCGCAGGTCATTAAGCAGAACATCATGTCACTGTCACTTGCTGCCTATTTCCTCACTGACTTTGCTTGTCAGAAGTTAGCTGTGAAGGTTACAACAACCATCACTTGATTGAAGGATACTGTGACAATTGTAAATGTCCGCCGGTTCCCAAGCACCTGAATTGTAATCATGTGACTGAGGACCAATCATGAGTCTTTATTTATGGACTTTTAGAAAGAGTACTATTTTAATTTTTTTTTAAAAAAGAGACTGAATATGCTCTCCATGCCCCTAAAATCATGTTGCAAGGTACTGCTACATTTGTTTGTTAATGGCTAATTGTATTTTTTTGTTCTCTGACTGAAATCTTCAAATTCTGACTTATTTAACAATAATAAAAATAGCTTATGCCTTGATTCAATACAGAATACAAACTTCCTGTCCTATGGATGACACCAGCTTCCTAGATGGTTCTATATATATTCAACTCTTTTGCACTAGAATGCCAATCAGATATCTCTATGTACTGGACAGAACTCCTTAAATTTCCCTTCAGCCAGCATTAGTGCTATTTCCCGTTTGCAAACCAAACTCACTTTGTCCTGGGGGAGTGAGTGATACTGCCTGGGCAAGAGCTGAGAGGACAGACTGCTCTGCTAGCCCAATCCGTAACTTTCCTTCAAGGGACCTGCAATGCACAAAAAACTTTATTACAATTCTGAAGAAGTTATATTGATGGCTGAAGGAGACTTTATATATGCGTAGCTTTGTGTTTGTTGGAAGCAAGAACACTGAGAAATAGAATGCTAAGAGGTTGCCTCTAACCAATAAGTAATGTAGAAGAAATAACGATTGTAATAGAGTTTAGGAAATCAATGGAGATAATGCAAACTAAATATCAAGGCACATCTGTCAGGTCGTCCTCTTTGGTGCTCAAAGAATAGCCGGCAAGCAGGAACGAGAGACAAACGGTAGTTTTAATCACTCCGTACAACGATAAAATCAGCACTGGGAGTGAATTGCTCCCAGTGCCTTACATAAGCTACGCGCGCCTGCCCCACCCTCACAAGACCTCACCCCACCCCTCAAGCCACCATCCGGTCTGCAGGAAGAAAAGCCGGCCAGCATGAACGGTAGCCCCTCCCAGTCCCATCCAGTGCCGAGGTCCTCTCCCTGGCCCTGTGCGACGTCAGCCCGGCTTCCGTTCCTCGCATGGGCGAGCCAACAGCACGTCGTCCTATCTCTGCGCCCGTCGGTCGCACAGCGTCTCTGCCTGTTTTCGGCCACGGAGGCAAATGGATGGACCCTTCCCTGCCGGTAAGTGTTGACCCGGCGAGGCACTCGGTGACGGCAATGGCGAGGGGCTGCTGAGCGGCGGCGGCAGCAGAGGCGAGGGGCTGCTGAGCAGCGGCGGAGCAGTGCCCGGCTCCCCTTCTGCCCGGACAAGTCGGCCTCGCGGGGCTCGACATGCAGCTCCCTCTACCAGGGTTCCTCCTGGAACATAAGCAGAATAGTGTAAGTGGTCACGCACCCCTGTGGCCACAGCTGCTGACCGCCCGCCCGGCCTCCCAGGATACTTCTGATGGTATTTCCTGACCAAACGGGGGGCCTGAACGTCCGCGTCTTTCACCCATGATGCTTCCAACAGGGGGTACCCCTTCCAGAGAACGAGATAGTACAGACCACCCTGTTTAAGTCGTGAGTGAAGGATTTCTTGGACCTCGTATTGGTCATGCACAACGGGGCCCGGGGTTTTGGTTAGGCGGTCACAGGACACCTCCTCTACTGGTTTCAACAGGCTGCTGTGGAACACTGGGTGTATCCTGCCCAGAAACCGAGGTAAGTGTAGACGCATGGCCACCGGGTTAATGACCTGTGCGATCCGGAAAGGACCAATATACTTTGGCGCCAACTTTTTACATGGAACCCGGAGTTGTATGTACTTTGTGGACTCGGCTGAAGATCTGGCGGCGGCCTGGGAGGTGGCCGCAGCCGCAGCACTGGACCGAGTCGTGCCGTTGCGGCCTCTGACCCAACGCAGATCTCAACAAGCTCCCTGGTTTACCGGGGAGCTGAGAGAGATGAAGCGCCGGAAAAGACGCCTAGAGAGCAGTTGGAGGGCTACCCGAACCGAATCCGACCGAACACAGGTAAGGATGCATGTTAGATCCTACCTTGTGGCAATGAGGGTGGCGAGGTCTAATTACTACTCCACCCTCATTGCGTCATCAGAT